GGGAACCAATATTTTGAATAAAGAAATTTTTCATCAAACAAGCTGACCCACGAACGCTTTACACTCATAGCACGACAGTTTAGTTCGATTCAAGGAATTAGATTTAAGTAGACATGATCAGTTCTGGGGCTAAAAATCTTTCTTTTTTTTGGTCCCAATTCGTGCATTGATAGCTTTTACAACATAATAACATCTTCCCTCGGTCACTGAGCAGACATTGCTCAGATTCCTACTGTTAGGAAAAATCTTTGTCTGGCAGAAAAAAAACTAGGGTCTTTTGATTCCAACAAATGCTGAATCCAAAACTCACTAATCTTTAGAGTGTTCAGTATTACATGTGAGGCAGCGTGTTGGAATCAGGCTCTCGTCAAAATAATCAAAGTGAAGAAACATGCCTTTTCCGCAGGTTTGTGAATTTTTATAAAAATTTTGTTTTTTCGCTCAAGACCTTTCACACCAATTAAAGAACTCATTTCTGTGTGGATTTTTTTGAAAAATGCTGATTAAAGGCACACAAAAATGTAAATGGAGGTGCTTTTGCTAGTTGATAGCAGGGAAATAACAATTTCTTCAAGTCACTGAGGACGCTCTGTTTTGGGGCTTTTCAAAAAGATAAGCTCATCACAACTCCGTCTTCCATGCAGATTTTTCTGTTCTGTTTCCTTTACTTGAAACGTAAAATGAGAGGCAACAACATGCATGCTAGGAGCAATGCAAATTCTTGTTTCTGGTAATGTATACGCACTTTAGGTTCCATAGTGTAGTTTAGTCTATAGTGTGGTCAAAAGCTATCCCAAAATATCTTTTTAAGAGGTAAATCAACATCACCCATACTTTGCACAGCAGTTTGTATCAATTTGTCTTAACGTAATCATATTTGTTCAAAACAATTGAGGCTGGATTTTAAAACTTTTCTTGATAAATTTATATAAAATACTACAAATTTCCTTCACGCGGAAAATGAAATTGTTTACAGCACTTTCCACTGCTCACAAACGTTTTGCGTACGCATATGGCTTATGTCACAGCTCACGACTGACACTTTTTTAGTGTCAAAACTAGTTACAAGAATTTAATTTTAGAGTGAACACTTTTTTTTCACTAAAAGTTCTCAAAACACGCGTTCAATAAAGATGATCTCGCGATTAGAAAAGAAAAAAAATGACGGACTTGCTTTTAAAAGCGGTATTGTCCCAGCTGTAAACCTTTTAAAATCAGAAGAAACAACGCATTGGGATTTTATATTAATATTCATTAAGGAATTTTCTAGAATACAGCTAATAAGTGTTTGCAAAAATATTGATCTTTTAAGACAAATTGATACAAGTCACTGTGCAAAAGCTGGAGAGTTTATGTTCCATAGTTAAAGAGATATTTTTTGACAGCAATTTGTTGTTAATGTTATTTTTAAAATGTTCCTGACAAAGCCCTCAGCGGCGTACCGTTGAACGTATTAATTCTGTACAGTCTCCACCGTTTTTCTTTTGTCTTTATGCTATCTACAATGATGATGATGATGATGATGATGATGATGATGATGATGATGATGATGATGATGATAATGATGATGATGGGTTTTTTTTTGTTTCCTTAATGGGCCTAGTGGACTCCACGAGGCTCTTTTTCGGCTCCATCGTCATTATACTTAGAGGCACCTCCACTCGTCTAAATAACTATTCGAATTGCTATTGGTCCTGGACATTCAAACATAATTTTGTTTGACATCCTACTTTTCATGGCTGCGTCTTCAGCAACGTGGACTGAGCTCTTCTTTCACAATGATGATGATGAGGATGATGATGATGATGATGATGATGATGATGATGATGATGATGATGATGATGATATACCACTGTGACTGCTGTGTGGAGATGGATCCTTCTAATTTGATCATTATATCTACGGAGATGATTTTTTCTTAGACAATCTAAACAGCTACCTACACACCAAAAGATCAATGTTGAAGACCTTGATACAAGTCCCCAGTTTACCACTGCTGAACTTGAGTTGTTGGAGAACTTGACAAAACTGTCCATTTCCTCGGTTCAGTCCTATCGGAGACGGACACAAGATTCAGAAACCCTGACTCTTACTCAACCTTCCAGTCTCCAAAATGTGTGACAAACCGCCTGCACAGTGTGTAAATGAACCAAGGTCTGTGGTATGATATGAAAAGATATCTCTCTCTCTCTCTCTCTCTCTCTCTCTCTGCCCCTCTCTCTCTATCTCTCTCTCTCTCTCTATCTCTCTCTCTCTCTCTCTCTCTCTCTCTCTCTCTCTCTCTCTCTGCCCCTCTCTCTCTATCTCTCTCTATCTATCTATCAATCAATCTATCTATCTTTGGCACATTGGTTTGGTGTTACACCACGTACACACATACACACACACACACACACACACACGCACACTCACACACACACACACACACACACACACACACACACACACACACACACA